GAGTCCGAGTCTCAGCACCGGGGCCGAGACCGCCGGAGCACAGGCTGTGGTAAAGAGGAAACAAATGATAATCATGCAATAAAACACACACGGCCGTGTCAGGCCCTCCCCCGGTGGTGAACGGGTCCGGCAGGAGACCAGGGCAAGGCAACCGAGTGAAGTCACGCACTCTCCCGGGTCGCCGGTCTCGGACAGCAGGCTGACACCCCCACAGGCGGCAGCGGTCTCCGCCAGCCCCTGGACACAGGTCACACCCGAGGAACAGAGACACACTCGCTCGTCCCGGGGGCCGACACGGACGTGTGGTGCAAAACCGCCCCCGTTTCCCGACAGAGCCCCTATATTTACTACCGTCGCCGTGTGGACAGCGCACAGCGGAGAGATGGTCCTGTAGGCCTTGCCCGCGACAGAAACGGGGTTACATCTTAATAACATTGATTTCAACGTACCGTAACGCATGCCTTTTCCAAGAGAGGGAGAGATAGCAGGGAGACGCGGTATCAGCTTCGCATATCCCCGGCTAGAAACGGTCTGTTTTTACCACTGTAACAGTTCTGCTGCCAGCAGGTTTAATAAACTCCATGAAAACCTATTTCCTCTATAGACTCCATCTGCAGCTCTCACTGGTTTACCTTGACAGCGGAAGTGGAAGGGCTCTGCCCGTCGAGCCAAATGGAAAGCGTCAGAGGCGCTCGTTGACGTTGGAGCCGGCCAATGGGAGGCGAAGAAGGAATGATTGGCACCGGCGTGAGCGAACGGCAGGCCAGCGTAGCGCCCGTGGAAGGCGGGAGCGGGGGCGGAACTTGGCGAGCCCCGAAGCATAGCGCTGAGGGGGCGGGGCTAGTGTGAGGAATGACACTTAATTGATGAAAAAGTGTTTTTTTTCCCCTGCAGGGTTGCTGGTCAGTATAGTACCAGCCCCACAGACAGGGCGCAAACCTCCTCTTCCTGCTCATCATTAACATTATTATTAATAGAAACAGAATAATAGTTATTGGCATTTTTTATGACCATATTTATATTTTGACAAATAAACAACGAGGGGGAGCAAATATCTTCTCGATAAATTCTGGTCCGATTACTTTGACACTGCAATGTTTTCGAAGATCTGGGGTGGGAAGAAAACTGCAGGCCCTTTTCTGCAGTCATCAGAGCAAAGTGGAGCAACATCCTCATCGTATTCAGATCGTTCTGCAGCTGGAGGCCTTGTCAACAGGGTGTCAGGTGACATGAGCCTGGTGACAGCTAACTGCTCACAGGGTGTGTGAGATGAGTAGAAAAACGTGGAATTGTTTGATTTTGTTTAAGCTACATCACATTTCAATCCATCCACCTAGGAACACATAAAAATATAAAACGACAAAATAACTGCAGTACTGGGCGGCACGGCGCTGGGGCCCTGGGTTCATTCTGGACCCTGGGGTCTGTCTGTGTGGAGTCTGTATGTTCTCCCCGTGTTCAGGGGGTTTCCTCCAGGTGCCCCGGTTTCCTCCCACAGTCCTAAGACACCCTCTTTTTACCCCCTTTATTTTAAACATGGCATCCACAGCCACTGACCAGAGAGGAAAGAAAAGCAAACCACACATCTTGTCAAAAAGAGGGTACCAAAGACATACTGGTCGGTTAATCACCTTTTGCTGGAAATCGGAGTGTGTGTGTTTGTGTGTGCCCTGCGATGGACTGGCACCCCGTGCAGAGTGTGTCCTGCCTTGTGCCTGTTGGATGCTGGGATACATTCAGGCTTCCCTGAGACCCTGTGCTGGATAAAGCAGTTGGAAAACAGTAGGATGGATAAAATCCGGTATTTTAAAGCATGCACAACATTCGAAGACTAAAGTTATTACTCTCCATATATGTTATTTATATGAAATACATATTCAGTGTGATAAATGAAGAACTCCATCCTTCTTATCAAACCACAGCAGCACACTGTTCTCATCTGATGTTTTTCATCTCAGATTGAAACCACTTCACTTTTGGAAACACTCATGAAGGTAAGAAAAGGACATGAAATGTAACAGCACAAAAAAAAAACACAAGGAAACTATTTTAAAGAACTGGGAATCGTCATTAGAGGTAGATCACAGCTGTTATCAAACGCATTATATATGTATACACCATATATTTATTCCTGTAGAAAAACTAGTTCGTCCCAGAGACCGTTTGTTTTTTTTTAAACAATTTGATTCTGGGCACTTTAGATAGGATCATTAGCTGGATTCATCTCTAGAAAGAATATGATTGTTATAATTACTCCATGATATAAAATTGAAAGTTTATATATTTGTAAAATATGCTTGCAACCAAAAAGACGTAACATTGTAACTGGTGTCATAAAACATATTGAATCACGTCAACGTCACTGGCCTGGTTATGTGCATCGCAACTCATGAGTTCACTCTTCAGCCCCTCCTTTTATTTTCCCTGGTGCTCGTCCCCTGTGGCACGGCCCGGCTTCCAAAACCGTTAACCACCGGAGCAAAGCGCACACAGTCGTAAAAAAAAAAATTAAAAAAGGGGGTTGTCTCAATTGCCAATGAACTAAAAATCCTAAAATAATCACTGGCTTAAATGCATAAAATCCCACGGAGGTCTTAAAACCAGCAATGGCATCGAGATCTTAAAGCCTTTAGGCCACAGAGGAGGGAGAGGAGGAGGAAGGTGTTGCATAGGAAGTGCCTTGTGCCGAGAGGTGTCTAGAAGTGGCTGGGAGCAGGCCTGCAGTCTAGCGCAATGAAGAATCATGCACTGCACCAGAGGACAGCAGCTCTCGCAGTACCTATGAGCCCTCCTTGACAGGTATGCAGTGCGACTTGACAGCTCAGTATTTCAATGATAAATGCAGTAGTCCTGGGACTCCCATCCGCTGAACTCAAGAGTGTGCTGAGCTGATACTTCAAGGTCAAGTGAATAAGAAGGAGCGAAACCACACAGCTCGCTAAATCACTGCCTTTCCCTTCTGCTTCCTTGCAATTGCAACAGTTGGAACAGCTGGCAGAATACTTGTTTTGCTGTACAGCAGCGCTGCTCCGTTTCTGCCATCTTCCCCAGCCCGGCTAAGATTTTTATTGCGTCTGAGCGACCTGTGTAGCAGTGGGGCGAGCACCCCACGCCGCCCCCGGAAGAGGCTGTGTTTGCTTTGAGTAAACCGCCTCATTTTCACAAAAAGGGGTGCTGCACAGAGCCCTCATAATCTCAAGGAAAAAAAAAATTAACACTGTGATTAAAAAAAAAATGTCAATTGATGCCTAATCTGGAAGAAGGCTGATGCAAAACAGGGGCTTGTTTCATATTACAGTGAAGTAAACAGATCATTATTATAACCAATATTGCTCGTATTATTTATATTGAATTCAATGACTCATCCCTCAGCCTTTACTGAAAAAGCATGCAGGGCATGAAGCCACAACGAAAGGGTTAAAGGACACATCAGCTGACTGGAACACTTGAGCACAGCTTTTAGCAACATTATTCCTCAACTAGAGCTCACAGAGGAACTAATGGCTATATCGTGAGAATACTGTTTTCATGACTAAATGGCTTTAGTGTGGCCAGTGTGAGTTATTTGCCCTTTGAAAAAAAAAAGATGCTAATGGCTCTTTGGAGGTAAAGACTTTCTGACTGCCCCTTTGTCTTCATAATTAAAAGCCCTTTTAGAAGATGGCAATGCTAGAAACGTTTGCTTTTCAAAACAGCGAGAGTGATGATGGATTGCTTAAATTGCTCTCTCCTGATAAAGATTCTGAAATGTGCACAAAGGAGGAAGCAATTTAATTTAAAAAATGTACAACGCTTTATACCAGTTAATGCACTTTGGAGCATTTTATGTATTGACATCCTATGTTTTGTTCAGCAAACACTAAGCGCCAAGTGTCTTCTGGCAACAGAGATCAACTTCACATGACTAAGTTCTGCACTGTGTACGCTTTGAGCTTCATAGCACAGGGCATTCATGATGCCTTAACAATTTGTTCACCCTGAGGATTATGAGCATCTAAAAATAAACGATCTTGTGCAAGGATTAGAAGCTAATAAGGTAAAATATTTGGGGAAGAAGACACATGATGAGTTGCCCAGGGTACCAGTGTACCTTAGTGATTAGCTTACACCCCCTCACACCGATCAGAACCGTGCACTGCTGAGGGTTTAACCATAACTGTGGAAAAAAGGAGAGGCCACTGCCGAAATCAAATTCTTCTGAGTTGCTGGTTTAAGGCCGTTTTTCTGGATGAACAGCTTGGGGACGTATTTAAAATGACATGCTTTTTACAAACACCAGGAAAAATCAAAGGCTCTTCTATCAGCAAATCTTTTTTTTTTTCCTTCTAAAGTCCTCACTCTTCTGTCATTAGGGAACAGGGCTCAATTAAAGAGCCCAACCGGGAAATTTAATTTAGGCAGAATAAAGCCTAATAGAAATACTGCACAACCGTGGACATAACCAATTTATCTATACAGTAAGAACTCCATATTAAGTGTCATGAAATTGCATTAAAAGGAATTGATCGCACTGCTTTGTTTCTTTGTCAGTGCCTGTACTGTACAGTGGCTTCCTTTGATCTGAAATTTCTTCCTCGTTATACATATATTTTTAAATGTATTTTCATGTGTTGCTTTTTATTTTTCACTGTGAAATGCAGCATTCTTAAATCACCAGTGAAACTAGTGCAGCGTCTTTTTTTTTAATTCCTCTGGTAATCTCGGTTGCCAGCCTCATTAAAAGTATAAGGCGCTGAATGCAATATTAAGTGGCTTTGCTTTTCCCCAGTGCTGCTCGCCCCCATACCTTAGCTCTGAAATTTTAAATTGTTTTACTCCGCTTGCTTTGAAACATGTTACTAAATTAGTAACACCGTCAATCAATTAAGAAACAAACAACACACAATTGTCCTGAGCTGGAAGTGTGTGTGTGTGGTGGAGGGGGTGATAAAATATAAACTTGCTTTGATGCAGCAATAAAATCTGGCCCCTGCATTGTCCCTGTCCGTGAGATGTGACAAATACACAGAAAGGCAAATGCATTATTCTTTCTCAGGCCACAGTTACACTGTAAACACACAAAATGACTAATATATGGTCGAAACATCATGCCACAGCATTTAATCAATGACTTAAACAGTTGAATCAATATAAATTCCTAATATTTTAAGCATACTGGCCTCTATAAATCTTGTGATGTGGTTGATTGCAAAGTGTTTCAGGGGCCTATCCATGCATTGTATATAAAGACTCATGTAAATCAAACGCCACTACGACAGAACAAGGAGTTTTTTGACCTCTAGAAAAAAAAATGGCAGAAAAGACAGGAATCCTTTCCTTCAGCAGGATCTCCTCAGTGGCGTCCGGAATTGGAGTATTTAAGCAAAATACTGGAGCCGCGCAGCTCCTGCAGAGTTCGGAGATGCCCCCCCTTGTCTGCTGTGGCCGGAGAGAAAAGTCTCTCGTCTCTGAAATGCAAACGACAAGCATTACTGTTGCTGTCCTCGACGTCAGGAGAGTTCACCCCTTTCACCTTCCGTGTTTCAGCAAACCTGGGAATTCAGAGATTAAAACATGAAAATGTGGACCCCTCTCCAAAATCCTGACCAAATGAAAACATCATTCACCTCACCGCGTTTCGCAGCTTTGAAACACTTGCACGTCGTCTGGTGGGAGTGTTGCGTTTTCTTACGAGGAAGAGGGGGAAAACAATGTGGCGTTCCTCTATCCCCAACAACAGGATTTTCCCAAAGGAAGTTTTACTCCATGCATATCTGATTATTTGCTATTTAATTATCAAATGTTAATTCCCCTTGTAACAATGTGTCAGGATAGGCAGCCTGCAGGGCTTTGGAATCAATTCATGCACCGCGGTCTGTGAATCGGCGCAGCGTTTGCTAATTCTCAGTGTACCGTCTTGTGTTCGCGCATTTGCAGAACTATGTCTGATTGACTTTCAAAGTGCATTCCAATTAACAGCTTTATTTCCTCCTCTCTCTCTAATTTTAGATAATTACTCCCACCATCATCATAAAAAAAAAAAAGAGCCCTGCTTTCTTCCGCCGGCACGGGGACAGACTGTGGCAGGGCTGCTCGGCTTCCCGGCCGCTCCATCGCCGTGCTGTAATACCGCCAGCTCCTTAATTGTCATATTGATCCTGCTCATTCCCAATTAAATAATTAAGGGCCATTCTGTAGTGGAGCAGATAGGTCGGGCTGTGACCTGGGCCGAGCGGCCGCGGGTTTCAAGCCCGCACTGTGTCTTACTCTGCACTCTGCAGTAAGTTAGGATTTCTGCGGGGGATCTGAACGCGTCTGACTGTTCAAGCATGTATAGTGATGATAGAGCACTGGAATTAGGCTCTGCGCTTCGGAACCGGGAATTGCATTGGTGAATACAAGCTGGGCAGACTTATAATAATCATAGGTTTCCTGGACTATATGGGACAAATTATTCAACGCACTCTCCAAGAAAGAAATTGAGCGTCAAGTGAAACAAACACAAAAATGACAATTGTCTCTCCCACTCTCGTGGCAACGGTTTTCAAAATGAATAGCTCAGAATGTTTTTTTTTTTTTTTTACCGGTAATCTCGATGGAAAACGTGTGTAAAATCGGTGGAAGACACGTGTGGCCTTGCTGTGTCTGCGCTGCGGACGGCGGCTAATACATACTGTCCTGGCTTGTGGCCGTCGCCTATAAGCACACAAAGATCCCTGCGGGTCCTCTGGATTTTGAAAAGTCGGTCTGGTTCCCTTAGGCAGCTAGCTAGCTCTTCGGCGGCTGTGGGTTTGAAAGGTGACCGATGCGGTTTCACGTCTACAACTTGAACGAGGCGCCCACCCGCGAGCCGTGTTTATTGACGCCTCTGGCGAGCGGCGCGCTCCCTCCGCTCCCGAGGTCAAGTTCAAACCGCGGCTCGCGGTCCGGGTCCTCCCCGCGCGCGGCGGGCAGCCGGTACTGGTCCACAGCCCCGTGCAGGCAGACACGCGGAACGCCCCAGCTCGAGGCGGCAGTCAGCTGCACCCCGGAGCAGAAACGTCCGGCTTATTGCACAGTCGATAAATGGGCTATATTATATAACTGTCAGAAATAACATATATCCCATTTTGCAAAATTATCCAGTTATCCGAATGCGCTATTTTTGGGGCGTACTTGTATGTTTTTTATTTTAATTTTCCAAATCAAGCATTTATTTTATTCGTAAAATTTGATTTTAGACACTTACAGGACGTATTTGTAATGCAATTGTTCCCTAACGGTATTTCAAAAGTAAGAATAAATAAAAACTAGCAATGTGCAAAATATTAACGTTTATTCCAGTAAGCGGAACATCGTGTAACCCCACCGCCTGCCAACTTTGCAAAAATAACACACGCGTGTGTTTGTACTTTCGTGTGTTTCTGGCAGCTCTGCACAAAACTATAAAACGCTGGATGACCAACAAGCGCTAAATTAACTTCAGAACTTCACTTCTGTACCTCTTGTCGGCTGTAGTGAGTCACACGTAAAACACAGTTAAAAAAAAAAACCTAAATGTGAACAAATATTTAACGTACAGCCTAAAATTGTACAGAAACAGGGAGCTGGTGCACTAGCCTGGTTGGACTGTTAAAATATATTTTAGGAAGAACGTGTTGTGATAACAACAAAAAATCCGATTGAATTTCTAAGACGGTTTGTTGAAATCAGGAAACAGGAATCCTTCAAATATAATCTTTCCTGAATTCTCAACATTAGTTTTTGCTTATTTGCATTAATGATAATAATTCATTAGTATTTTTTCTATTTAAGGTCTGATTACAGGAATAAACGATGGGATATTCGGTGATAACAATAACCCTTAAAAGTTACAAAGAATAACTCGTTTTCAGTTTAACAGTGCAAGTGGACTAATGCATAAATACATCACACACATTTACCACGTACTTTCTCTCCGTCGGGCGACAGTGAATTCTTCTTGAAAATACCTCGGCGAGTTTGTCTGGGGGCGTTAGAAGAAAAGTGTGTAGCTTTCAGAGAATAAAATCTATTTGAAAAAGGAAAAGAATAAAAAAAAAATGCCATTTCAGTGTCTACTCTGAGTGTCCGGAGGGATGACTTTACCGAGCGGTCAGGTCAGGGTTTGGAGAACATGTCACCTTTACTGAGGAAAAACCCCACGAGCAGAGCCCCGCGCGAGCACGCCTGCTCGTGGTGCTACCATGCGCACATCCTCGCATCCCCGCTCCTTTCTGCTCGTCTGCTGCCATAGCAACTGTAGCAAGGGACAGGGCAGCGCCGCCTGCGCGTGCGGTTGATGTCACCCGTGGCAACGGCCAATCAGAAGTTCCCGGCTGCCTTGCACGGCCATGCTGGAGGTGGCGGACCCTGGGGGCGGGCTGGAGCCTGCCAGAGCTCCCCGCCTATTGGCCGGCGCCGCTGTCAGTCAGGCCCCGACCGAGGCGGGGATTGGACGGCGGCTCTTCGCGATACGAGAACATGGTCCCCCGCCCGCCCACCTTCCGAGCAGCACTGGGCGAGGGGAGGCAGAGCCGCGGTCTTGAAAAGCGGAGAGCCCGAGCAATTCATTATCACTTCTGTATCAAACCATATAAAACTCGGGGCTTGAAGTGTGTGGACTTTTTTTTCCTCCTCCTCCTCCTGCCTTGGCTGTGTTTGTTTTAGTGCACAGCGCGCCCGTCCAGCGCTGGTGAGAGCTGTCAGCCGACGGGGCATTTTTTTTTTTTGCATATATAGCGCCTTCCAGTGCAGCCAGGAGAACAAAAACCAAAAAAAAAAAAGAGAGAGGGAGAGGGAGAGGGGGGTGTGGAGGAGGACGCGTCCTTTATTTAACGCGTTCCCCGCGTGTCGTGATTATTATTACCATCATCATCACTGTGGCCATTAGCGTGGCGCGAGCGGTGTGTTTCGCCGGGGTCTCTGCGCGCGGCGGCGCCACGGACTCAGACCCCTCCTCTCGTGGGCGGGCCGCGCGCTCTCATTGGGATGCTGCCTCTCTGCGCGCGGTCTGACACGTCTGCACTGAGTGAGTGACATTGGCACCTTGTCAATCGCTCACTAGTGCGGCCATCAAACACCATAAAGCACACAGAGTCAGGGATCCGGGCTCATAAATTTCAACAGCCAGATCTTTTTGCGCATTGCTTTACAGCGTGTAATTAATTTATTATTTTTTTTCTGGCGATTCTCTCTTTTTTATTTTGGGGCCTCTGTTATTTTTCGCCCCCCTCAAAGAAGCTCCAAAACTTTTTTTTTGTGTTTTTATTTTTTAATTGTTGTCATCATCACCATCATTCTTACTGTCGCCGCCGCTGGTCCTGGGCATTTAAAATATCTATATTTTTTTTTTCTCAGATTTGATTTTACTTATGTGTTGGGTATTTTTACCCTTTGTTACATAGCAAGACGCACGCTGTAGACAGGTAGAGCATGTTTTGCTGTGCTTTTTAATTTTTATTTCATTTTTTTCTTTTTTTTTTTGTGCGTGCAACTTTAGCTTTGGAAAGGTCTTTTTGGGGGGGTTCCCTGCTGGTTTAATGGGGATTCTGGCAAGTTTGCAAGAAGATTTGCACGGGGAGAACAAGCCGAAAGAAGACTCTACAAACACATGAAAACAATGTGCAGGGAGCTATAGCACGAGACGCCAAATCGCACGCAAAACCCGGCGAGAAGGTCTGAAGACGGTCAAGACACGCGAGCTGTCATCCGATTGCCGAAGTATCAATAACTGAAGTACAGAATTGATATCGGTGCCTCAATGCAACTACCAGCATAAAATTGATCCTGCAATTCTAAAGCTACTTCGGATCGAGGGAGAAAAAAAACCCACAAACGCGAAAAAAGTGATTTCTGGACACGCGATTGCTGCCGGTACAATTACTGCTATACAAATAGAGATTCTTAGTTTTGCTTCTTTTAATTTTTTGATCCGTTTCCCCTCCTCTCAGCCTCTCTTTCTTTCCCGCGCGCCCACCGAATTCCTCCTTGTATGTGATTTTGTCCCGCAAATCCCCCCTTTTTTATTTTCCTTCCTGGCTCCGAGCGTTGTCTCTCCCGGAGAAACGCATTGATTGTGCTGCGGCAGAGCATGGACGAGCAGTCCCGGATAATGCAGACTCTCGGCGGTGTCAGTCTGGCTGGCCACTCGGTGCAGGGAGGGATGTCCCTGCCTCCCCCGCACGGACACGAAGGGACGGACGGGGACGGCAGGAAACAAGACATCGGGGACATTCTGCACCAAATAATGACCATTACTGACCAAAGTCTGGACGAGGCGCAAGCAAAGTTGGTTCCTTTTCTAAAATTACCTCAGATTTGTTGCATGTATGGTTGCTAACCTATTATGAACCTTTAGAGCCAGTCTAGTGGTTATGCTGTCGCTACTAAAATTAGAATCGCATGGATCACAATGGTCATATTTATTGGCTGTGTGGTATATATATATTTTTTAAAATATAGCGGGACAAGGGGGAAAATGTAGATAAGTTATATTGTAGTGCTTGTGCCATTTCTCTTTAACTCTCGGGAGGCAAAGTATCTTTCTTGCTTCTCGGATGTACACCCGGCTGTCATCGTAGTAAAAAAATAATAATCGGGATTTTCTCTTTATCTCTTTATTTTTAAATTCACGGAGAAGTCCTTATTTATGGGGCGGGAAGTAGTGTCTTTAAAATCTTGAAAAGCAGAGGAATTGTAGAAATATTGTTGCAAAGTGCCCTGGTGCTGATGTTTATGTACATGTGTGTGCACAGTGTAAAAACAAGCAAGCGTGCAAGATACATTTGTAGCCCAGCATTTTACAGACTGTTACCTGTTAAAGACCCGGAGACGCCTGGTCCGAAAGTATAGAAATCATTCTAAAAACAGGCTGAATAATTTCTATTTACTGAAAAAAAAAATACAACGTTTCAAACTGCTAAATAAGAACTTGTTCAAGCTCAAGTTCAATTGCTCAGCGTGTGGTTTTGTGTAACCTGTGTTTTACCCCCGATTGTCACCTCTTTCCCACTGAGCTACAGCCTCACTGTAAAACAACAACGCTGTAATAAACTAGGATCTGAGGATCTGATCAATTATTTTAGGTTCTTTGGAAATTACTGTTTGCAGCAGAATTTAACGCTCATGTCGAGAATCTGAATTTTGTGGCCCGTCACCTGCCGAAAAGAGTTCATCTGATCAGGGATAGGCAATATTATTATTATTACAAATAAATAAATGGAATATTCATTTAATGCTCGCTAGACGGGATGATTAAAGCGGGCGGGTAGGAAATGAGGAGATGTGCACAGTATTGTGTTTTTAAAGTTGTTTTGCAGTGTTGTATATCATGTTTTCTTTTTCTTGCCGTATACTGTAATAGGAAACACGGATTGAACTGCCACAGGATGAAACCTGCGCTCTTCAGCGTCCTCTGCGAAATTAAAGAGAAAACAGGTAAGGAAGGCACATTTTTGTTTTCATGTTCAGAAATCGATGAGGAGAAGTAACGAGCGAGGACGCGCAGGGCAGCACTCTCCTGGCTCAATTGAAAACGCGTCTTTGCCGCCATCTTGCTTTTTCCCCCCTGTCCCCTCTCTCCCCACGCCTTCCTCCTGTATCACAAAACGTAATACATTTAAAGTCAATTGTACAATTCATAACACGCCGCGCAATGAAACTGTGTATGAAGACGATAGTACATCACGCAGAGAGCACAACCTGCCTTCCCCGGGGCTCCTCGGTTTGGAAGGAAGAGCAGACCCGCTCGCCGAAGCGCCTCTTTGTATGTGAGGTGTCTCGGACAGGAGGAAAACAGCCGAGCGGAGAGCAGCTGCTCGGTTTCCCCCGTTTTCCAGGCGGTTTTTATTGTATTTGTCAAAACAAAAACAAAAAAAACCCCACACACACATTTGCGATTGAAACGCGAGCCGCACATATCATCTGTTTTTTTTTTCTTCCCATTCACTCGCAGAATCCACTGTTTCTTTTTGTGTGCGTGTGTGTGTGTGCAAATCACGGTCTCTCATTGTAAGGTGGTGTGTGTTAGGATTTCTCAAACAAATCTGCAGCATTTAAGCTCTGCGTCAATTCTTATATATATATAAATCCGTGTGTTATTCAATTGCAAAGCAGAACCCAGTCAGGACACTTGTCTTAGTGCAATGCATTTTACGGGTTTATATTTTATTCCCGCAATCCCGAGCAAACCCGGCGAACGGCTCTGGTAGGTTTCAGTTTGCACACAATGCTACACAAAGTTACAACCGGGAGAGTCAGTACATATATACGCTGTGTTCAAGGGTGGCCGACTGAACTCGGCAGAGGGGTACAGTCACATAGTGCGAGCAGGCAGGAGAAAGTTACTCTGCTTCCTGGTTCACCAAGTGAAAATAATTTCAAATCAGCGGGCTGACGTCCTGTTGGAATTTGACATTTAAACTGTCATTCGTGCAGAACTAAAAAAAAAAAAATACTAAGAAATGACATGACTGAAACCGAATAAAAATGTTGAATTAGAAATTCTGTTCACACGGAGAGCAGAGTTATGAAATAGACATGAAAACATGGGGAATGTGGAAAATACTGTGTTCGACGCGCAGAGGGTGTCACACACTGTAGGTGCGCTGATGTTGAATATCACCAGCTTTTGTCACGGAGAAATATGTTCTTTTTCTCCGTCCGGGGGTCTGCAATCGCGTGTTTTTATATTTTGCATTTTAAATTCGCAAAACTGCATTTGCGGTCGGTACCAAATTCTTGGTAAATCAATCAACGAAAAGAACCGGCTTAATTAAAAGTTATGCCGGGATAAGCACCGCGTGGAAATGGTGTTTAGCTGAAGGTGTTGAAGGCGGAAACCTTTTTTCCCCTCGGCGGTTCAGTTTCCCCCGTATTAAACATATTAATAGAACTCTCACTCGGAAATGAAAGGAGTGTATATTTTTTCTTGTTGCAATATTTCTTTATCAAATAAATCTAAGAATGCCTCGATTAAAAAAAAAGTCTGCATTTTAATTTTAAACAATTAGGCTTTCGACTCGCTGTGTCTGTAGAGATGATATGATTAGATATTGTGCGTGACTTTGGGGATTTTTATTCTTCTTGCTCCAGTCTGTTTGTCGCCGGAGGTGGCGATTCATTTCTGCGTGTGCTGGCGCAATATTTTGCCAGAATATTTAGCAAGGCCGCTCTGCAGCCCCAGACCTCGGCAGAATAGCCTCTACTGCGTCGTGCGCAAGTGAAGGCTCGGGTTGGATTCTTCTGGGTATCCGGGGCGGTCAGGACCCCCAGCCCGAGCGTGGAGGGGAGAGGCGAGTGCCCGGGAATAGGTTTGATGACACAAAGCATTAACATTTGTCACTGCTTCACCATAGCCGGGGGTGTTTGATGGAGCTCTCCAGTCCGCGATCAGACGAGCTCTCGGGCAGCGACGCGGGGCGCTCAGCGCTGCACAAGGAGCGCGGATCCAAACTCAGGAGGGGACGTCAAAAGTTTGCTGGGATCCCTGCTGCTCCTATCCGCTTTTTCGCACTGACACGGGGGGGGTGCTGGGAGGGGGGCGCTCCCCTGATTACAAACACGACCTCCCATTCCCAAAGGAGAGAAAGACTGACAGACGTGGGGCACGGACGGACGCGGGGATTCCCGGAAAGGGCGCGCGTGGCCCCGGCCGCAGAGGTGAGCCGTGCCGGAGCAGCCGGGATGTGTGTGTGGGGGGGGGGCTGGGGGTCTGCCGGCGAGGCGGGGGGGCCGAGGGGTGCGGGGCCGGCTTGTCTCACCGTCAGCCCGAGCAGATTGCTTTGGGTGAGCAAGACGAAGCAGAGACCCTTCGCATCTGCAGGAGCCGCACGTGAAAGTTATGTCATTTTGAGCCCTACCTAGAAAGTTAACATCACTCGTAATACCCCCCCTTCAAGTAACACAGTAACACAGGCGAGTTTGGGTGTTCCTGGTTGCCGTTGAGAGCAGTTCATGGGGAGAATGATCCGGACACTGGGCGTCTGGTCTCGTTGTGTTAATAGCGAGCGGGTTCAGTACCGTTCTGCCCTCCAGAAGCGAAACCCAGAGAGAGGAGCGGTGAGCGCGGCCGAGGCGCAGCCGAAAAAAGACTCAAGAACTCGGGACTCCACTCGCGTGGCGCGGCGCTGGGGTTACTCCCGCGTGCCTGTCCGTCTCTTCTCTTCTCCAGCCTAGGCTGGTTTGGACATTTCGTCGTAATGCGTTTTGGTTTTTGTTTTTTAAATAAAAACAAAAACTAGCGGGCGACAAAAAAAAAATTAAACCCGTTTGGAGAGAAAAACAAAAAGACTGACTTTTGAGCAGTGCGCGTCGAAGCTTGTTCCTGAGGTGTGGATGGTAGAGATTAGCGTGACGGGCTGCCCCTCTGCTCGGTGCTGATCAGGGACAGTCTCGGGTGAGCATTGCTGTGGAGACGTGCGCTGGGACAGAGATGTTAGCGGGTGTATCTCATTACTGAGACATAGCCTGAGTACGCACTTAAGATGACAAAAAGTTCACGGAGTATTTCCACACAATATATATATATATTCGTGCAATTGTGTTGTAGGCCTGACTGGAGTGACGAAAGGTCCGGACGGTTTGCTTCTTTGCAAAATGCTTGTGTGCAACACTGAAATGCGCTCACGAGTCCCGCCGGTGACCCTGGGCGCTGGCCGGTAGGCGGGTCAGCTGTGCGGGGGCCAGTCCTGTTGTTTGCTTTCGGGGGGGGTGCTGGGGGTGTTCGGAAACTCTGACGAGACCCCGGCCCCCGAAGACACCCCTTGACTGCGCCGTGCTAATCGCGCGCGTCACGGCTCCTAAACCGGAGCGAGTTGGGGAAAGATCATCAAACTTCATGAACTTGTGCGCTGCGGGAGGTGTCCTCTGGGGCGGGCTGGCTTGAGGTGTGCTTCAGAGCGCAGAGAGGAAAGTGACCACTAAATGTTTTAGCCCCGGGGTGACAGCCTGAAGAATTCACAAGGGGAGGGCAGAGCAATTGTGGGAGACGAGGGGGAAAGTGACACGCGTGGGGCCGCGCAGCTGTCAGCAGCCCCACGCTGTTCCAGCACGGGAGGGTTTATTAGTTGTAGTGTAAAAATATATATATATAAACACATTTCATAGTCCGGGACGATCTGCTCGAAGTGCATGCTGATATGTAGATATACTGCACATTCATGTTCGTCTGTATCTGTGCTTGCCTGTTATTGCTGATCTGGATTTTATAAATGGTGACAGATTTATCAAGAGTAGCTCACCAGTGTTCAATCTGTAACACATTTTGCTTAAAGAAAACACATAGTGCTGACAGCCAGGAACACTGCGCTTGGATAAAGTCAACGAGTTGCCCAGGAGGAGGTTTCCTGCAGCTTTTTCTGATGCTTCTGATTTCCCCTCTCCTAATGCAGTCTGCGGTCTGTTGGGAATGCCGGGAATACCAGGACAGTAGCCTGAAGAGTGGCACCTTATAGTGGGGGTACACAGAATTCGGGAGGCACACGAACCCCACTCTGCTGCTTGGGGAGACCACTAACTGCGATGGCTGTCGTGCCGTTTACTCAGTTTTACATTTCAAAGTGGCACGTTTTGTTACCAATAACACTTTATGCTGAAAGGGCATCTTATGAACAACTGTGGCTTTGGAACGTTATGTTATCCCGAGACCTGGACAGTGCTAGGAGTTGTTTGGACGTAACATATTGGAAAACACGCAGGCCACCACGCACCCGAGAGTCTGTCTTGTGTTCTGAGCAGGAGGTGCTGAATGAGTGAGGAAGTCCGTGATCTGTGGACGTGGTGGTTTTAAGATCGTGGCGGTTTATCTGCCTTTGGCACAGAGCCGTGCCCCCTGTCCGGGGGATCCTCCGCAGAGCCGGGAGCAGTGTCGAGCTCTCCAGACCCGCAGAGCGAGGCTCCCGCTCTCTCGCTGGGCGGGCCCCTCCCGCCCCCCCTCGCCGGAGTTTGTGCACGTATAGGGTTCCATAGATTACATTTCTATACTGTATATTGTATTAGAGCACTAATTAAATATGCATGCAGAATAGAGTCCCTAAGTATGCTAATTATTTAAATGAGCTTGTTTACCAGATGAGGTGCTGTAATCTGCTATAATCCCATTGATGCAGCTTGTCTGAAAGGTTTGCTTTCAAGCAGGGGCTAAAGTACTAACAAGGTATTTTTTTTGTTACTTTCTTTTAAATTGGTCTGTTGTTAATCCTAATCGCCCCCCCTTCAAATTTATTAGTGTTAAGACCCCGTTAAACTGTCTTTCTAGTCAAGGTTCTGGCCTTTCTTGTCTTTTTGTGCCTTTTCGTCTGAAGAGCTTTCCCTTGCGAGAGCTCACCCTGTGTGTTGACTTAGCGAATTCTCCCTCTGAGAGCCGGGCTGTGTTTGTTTTCTCAGCAGACCTGTTGAATGACACACTCTTATCTGGGCGATAAGGGAACCTTCCCTTG